CACACACCCGGAGCAGTGGGCAGCCATTTATGCTGCGGCGCCCGGGGAGCAGTTGGGGGTTCGGTGCCTTGCTCAAGGGCACCTCAGTCGTGGTAATGAAGTAGGAAATCGAGCATATTATAAAGTGACATAAAAAAGAGAAACACCACACTTAACTCTTCTGTAATGTCGTACAACACCACATTTTAAAGCGATCATAAGACATAATACAAACATTAGTCTAACAAGAAAAATGCATGAGTTATGTCAAGTCAAGTCACCTTTATTTATATAGCGCTTTTAACAATACAGATTGTGACAAAGCAACTGAACAGCATTAATTAGAAAAAAGTAAAATAAAAATTCTTTTATTTATGTCAATAAAATAAATATGAATTGTTTATGAATTGAAATGTTTATTGTTTATCGGATTAGTTTTATTTACGCCCTTGATATATATTTTAAAAATGCAGAATAATTACGCCAGCTTTATTGAAATATATAGTTATTAATTAATTGATTAATTATTCATTAAATCTCGCTCTCGCGTCCAGTACTATCAAAGTCCTATAGTCTTTTGGTTCTATTCAAAAACAATGTACTTTCCCGAGATGCATCCGCTCCAGCTCGCCTCCTTCAGACCAATCCGAAGGATGGTGAAAAACCCCTCTTCTCTGATTGGCTTAAAGCTGCAGATGTGCAATTTTCAAAGTTGGTTAACTGCAGCTCTAGTGGATTCGTAGTCTGAGCGAACGGCACAGAGTGTATCCAAATAACCTGCGGTGTTGGTTGGATTTTAAACGACTTTGGCATCTTATTTGAGCTGCTTTTAAGGGGGATCAGTTGAACGGTACGTGCATTTGCTAATCTTGTCCTTATTAGCTTGTTTTTGTCATTTATTTTGGTTAGGCGCCATGTAGGCTCGGCAATGTCATACTAATGTATCTGCTGGTGTTTGCAGTATGTTTATATTTTTTTAAATGGCTCAATATTTATATAAAGGATTTTCCAGGGTGACGTATATTTGCCTTTTAAAAGCTAATTTTGTTTTAAGGTTACATTTAAAGGGCATCTTCAGACGTGGAGCACAGAAGACGCTCCTTCAACATGGCTTCATCACAGTTAACTTTACCAGCAGCCAAAAAAGATGAGAAAGGCAGAAATATACAAGTGGTTGTACGATGCAGGTAAATGTAACGTTACAGGTTTTGTATGTGTATTTATATTTTTTGTAAGTAGTATAAGCGAGCCTCAATCACAGATTTTGTATGTTGTAAGTTATAACTTGTATTGTTTACAACGTGCATGTTATTTTTTTTTTACACTACTAGTTACACAAAACTCTCTTTATTATATTCTGCCTTACAAACATGCATTTCTACATTGTTTTTTTGTGTGTGTGTGTGTGTTTTTTCTCTGAGGCACATTTATTATTCATAAATGTGACATCTTGCCCCCCTGCTCACATCACATGATTTAAATGTCCAATTTATGAAATATGCGTTTTCTGGCCAGAGCAATGGTTTGATCATTTGTATGGTTTTTCGTAATTGCTGACGTTTTAGCCGAAAAGCCTGGTATAAGATATTTCTTTTTATTGATCTATTTTCTTGTGTTATGTGGCTTTTCTAGATTTGTTTGTTTTTTCTAAATACAATTTGTGTGTATTTATGAGATGGAAATGAATGTTTCTCCTTTCTTAGAAACTTAGAAAGGAATGTTTAACCTTTCTCACATCTGATGTGTGATTCACAGACCCTTCAACACGGTGGAGCGTAAATCTGCTTCTCATACTGTTGTTGAATGTGATCAGAACCGAAAAGAGGTGATGGTCCGTACTGGGGGCGCCACAGACAAAGCAGCAAGAAAAACATACACTTTTGACATGGTGAGTGTTTAGCTTGTTTTCCACCCACATCCTGAGTATTAATGTCATCTAAATCTTTTCCGGTGTAGTAATGTTCATTCAATTTCAATTGGTTTAGGTTTTTGGTCCTTCTGCCAAACAAATTGACGTTTATAGGAGTGTGGTTTGCCCCATATTAGATGAAGTTATCATGGGCTATAACTGTACTGTTTTTGCGTGAGTATCTTTATTTAAATGCCAAATCATTCGACTTTACAGATAACTTTTTGTGTTGTGTTTAACCCGAGGAAGTGTGTTTAATCAGTTTTGGACCTACAAATTTTATTTGGTTTCTATACTACATTTTATTAATTAAAGTTTGATTTCCACCATGAAAATAGCTAAAAAGCTTGTTTGGTAATAACAAACAACTAAACAAATCTGTGTTTTTATTGTGGATTATTTCTTTTTGGTTTAAGATATGGACAAACTGGAACAGGGAAAACTTTCACAATGGAGGGCGAAAGATCACCCAATGAGGAGTTTACTTGGGAAGAGGTAATATTCAAGTCAGAGTTTGGAAGTTCTGCAGCAGTCTAAGTGGGCCATGTGTCAAACCAATGGCTGTTTAAAGGGGCCATATCATACGTTTATTTAGTGTTTTCTTTTCTAAAGGCCTCTAATGTTTCTTGCACCAGTAACAATTTTAATTCCTCATTCTGACTCGCAGAATAAACTGCTTGTTTTTACAAATGTACCTGTAGGACTTCAATAAAGATGACATCTTTTATGCTCTTTGCATATGAAGAAATAAGTGCTTGCTTTATGAGGTTTTGCTATTGGGCCTCAATATAAATACCAATATTTTCATAATACGATTTGCTCCGGGATTGATCAGGGTTTTTCCCTCATTCCTCCTTTCACGGTTTCTCTTACAGGACCCTCTGGCTGGAATCATTCCCAGAACTCTTCATCAGATCTTCGAGAAACTGTCCAATAACGGCACAGAGTTCTCCGTGAAGGTTTCTCTGCTGGAAATCTATAATGAGGAACTCTTTGATCTTCTCAGCCCTGCTCCAGATGTCACAGAGAGGCTACAACTGTTTGATGATCCCAGAAATAAAGTATGCTTTTTTTGTGTGTGTCTGTAATGCATTATACCTATAATATCCATATATTTTTCCTTTGAAAATGACCATTTATTTGTGTTCGCTAAAACAAGACATTCTGTATATCTGTCAGAGGGGTGTGACCATTAAAGGTTTGGAGGAGATCACTGTACACAATAAGGATGAGGTGTATCAGATCCTGGAGAGAGGAGCGGCCAAGAGAAAGACGGCCTCCACGCTCATGAACGCTTACTCCAGGTAGTAATTGCATCCTTACATCCCAATTTAAGAGGAAAGAAGTCAGTGGATGTCATTGGTGTTTTGTTCATGGCTTGTAACGTCTCTTTACACCTTTTGCTCCACCAGTCGATCTCACTCGGTGTTCTCTGTGACTATTCACATGAAAGAGATCACACTGGATGGAGAGGAGCTGGTTAAGATTGGAAAACTGAACTTGGTGAGTTTAATTTCTTCAGATCTGGAGGTTCAATCTACAACTCTGGCTCAAATTCATCTGTTAAAGTGTTTTTAAACCAGCAACTCATGTGTTACTCTGTTTAGGTGGATCTTGCGGGTAGTGAGAACATCGGGCGATCTGGAGCTGTGGACAAGCGTGCACGTGAAGCTGGCAACATAAACCAGTCTCTGCTGACTCTGGGTCGTGTAATCAAGGCTCTAGTGGAGAGAGGGCCTCACGTGCCCTACAGAGAGTCCAAACTCACCCGTATTCTGCAAGACTCACTGGGAGGACGCACCAAAACCTCCATTATTGCCACTGTGTCTCCTGCCTCCATAAATCTGGAGGTATGACTTATGCTGTATCTTTCTTATTTTGTCCTTGTTATTAGGAGTATTGATTTATAATTTAATTGTAGGAAACTCTGAGCACTCTGGACTATGCTAACAGGGCCAAGAATATCATGAATAAGCCAGAGGTCAACCAAAAACTCACCAAGAGAACTCTGATCAAGGCAAGTTTCTTTACTGTTTGTACATAATACATTTTCATAAGACTTCCTGGACAATATATTTCCAGTTTCTTTTTCATGCATCATTGACCAACAACCTATTCATGTTTCTAAAATAAATGTTGTAGGAATACACAGAGGAGATTGAGCGGCTGAAAAGAGATTTGGCTGCCACCCGTGACAAACACGGAGTGTACCTATCTCTTGATAACTATGAGTAAGTTCTGCATGCGTATATTTTTTACTCTCACCAAGGCTGTATTTTTTATCAAAAATTGTTAAATAATATTAGTATTTAAAATGACTTTTCTATTTTAATAATTTTAAAAAGTAGTTTATTCCTGTGATGGTAAAGTTGAATTTTCAGCAGCCATTACGCCAGTCTTCAATGTCACATGAATTGCAAAAAAAATTTAGTTTTTGTTTTACTACAATGCACAGGTCTTTGCTGTCACTTTTGATCAATTTAATGTCTTTGGTTAATGGTCTTAATTATAAAAAAAAAAAAATTATAATTCTGTTGACAAAGGATGCCTCAAATTGTGCAGTCAACATTTTCCTTTCCTTTTTTTGTTTAACCACTATTTTCCCATTTACAGGAATATGAACAGTAAACTGATGTCTCAGGAAGAGCAGATGACTGAGTACACAGAGCGGATCGCTGGATGGTAAAGTTGAATTTTCAGCAGCCATTACTCCAGTCTTCAATGTCACATGAATTGTAAAAAAAATTTGTTTTTGTTTTACTACAATGCACAGGTCTTTGCTGTCACTTTTGATCAATTTAATGTCTTTGGTTAATGGTCTTAATTATTAAAAAAAAAATAATAATGCTGTTGACAAAGGATGCCTCAAATTGTGCAGTCAACATTTTCCTTTCCTTGTTTTGTTTAACCACTATTTTCCCATTTACAGGAATATGAACAGTAAACTGATGTCTCAGGAAGAGCAGATGACTGTGTACACAGAGCGGATCGCTGCAATGGAGGAGGAGCTCAAAACGGTGAGCAGCATCTTTTAAATCCATTCTACTTCTGCTTTTCTATATGTACAAGTCCTGCCAACTTCCACTTTTGAGATTATAAAAAAAAAAAAATTATAATTCTGTTGACAAAGGATGCCTCAAATTGTGCAGTCAACATTTTCCTTTCCTTTTTTTGTTTAACCACTATTTTCCCATTTACAGGAATATGAACAGTAAACTGATGTCTCAGGAAGAGCAGATGACTGAGTACACAGAGCGGATCGCTGCAATGGAGGAGGAGCTCAAAACGGTGAGCAGCATCTTTTAAATCCATTCTACTTCTGCTTTTCTATATGTACAAGTCCTGCCAACTTCCACTTTTGAGTGTGTGTCTGTGATGTCATGACAATGAGTGATGTATGTAATAAATATTGTGCTTTTGTTTTGGCAGATTATGGACTTGTTTACAGACAGTAAGCAGAAATTGGACCATTGCACTGAAGACCTGCAGGACAAAAACCAGAGGCTGGAGGAGACTCACAAGGACCTAATTAAGACCAGGCATCGCCTCACTCGGGAGGAGTTCATCACTTCACAGCTCCAGAGCAATGAGTGTCAACTCTTCAGCGCTGCTGACCAGGTCTGTGAATCAGATGTGTAGTTTGGTGATGCAATGATAGGATAGTATGCATAAATGTTATCCCGATCTATCTCTCTCTCTCTCTCTCTCATATCCAGCTGTTGAGCACTGCTGAGACCAGCACTCAGGATGTTAGTGGTCTCCACGCTAAGCTGCAGAGGAAGAGGGAAGTGGAGTTTCATAACGGGGAGGTCCAGCAGAGCTTTGCCCAGCGCATGGAGAACTGCTACAACAGCATGCAGACCTTGCTGCAGGAGCAGAGCCACAAACATGCCGCTATGATTGACTATTACCGCTCTTCTGTGGGTAAGATGTGTCACGTGACTCCACTCTCAAATTCTAAGGGTGCTTTCACATTAGCACTTTTTGTGCGCACCCGGGTGCGATTGACGTCAGAGTTCGGTACGTTTGGATGATGTGAACACGGCCTTCCGAACTCGGGTGCGCACCTGTGAACTGTACCCGAGTCCGCTTAAAAGGGGTGGTCTGGGGTACGGTTCAAGTGAACTCCGGTACGGTTCGCTGCTGATGTGAATGCAATCGTATTAAATCACGGAAGTGAACCGCTATTAATGACGTATTATTTGATAAAAATGTGTGTTTCACTCACTTTCCTAACGAGCGTGACTGACGTGCTGCAAGCAGAGAGCTGTATATCTCATTTCTGTTTGCCTTCAGAGTTCTTTAGAGCATTTGCAGTACATTCGTAAGGCAGACATAGTTGCCGTTATGTACTGTAGCTTTGGAAACAAAACCAACGGTTCAAAAACATAAATAAAATTGAAGAGAGCAGTGCTACGCATTTTGCCGTCTTCTCCTGCGCCAGTGTTACTAAGCAATGGGGTAAACAGCTGCTGTGAATATCATATAATGTGAACACAGTCCGGGGGAGGGGGGAGCAATCTAACCAAGTATGAAAGCACCCTAATATGCTATTTTGGGGGGTTTAAAATCATTTCCAGCAAGTATCTTCAGGAAAACAATCACGTTAATGTCTGTTTAAATGTCTCTGTGTAGGTGAGCTGCTGAATACGAATGGCACAGTGTTTAAGGAGACGTTAGGTGCTGTCTGTGAGTCTTACAGCAGTATTAAAGGGGCTGTGGGAGAAGGTGTGGAGCGGTGCAAGGAACCGCTATTAATGACGTATTATTTGATAAAAATGTGTGTTTCACTCACTTTCCTAACGAGCGTGACTGACGTGCTGCAAGCAGAGAGCTGTATATCTCATTTCTGTTTGCCTTCAGAGTTCTTTAGAGCATTTGCAGTACATTCGTAAGGCAGACATAGTTGCCGTTATGTACTGTAGCTTTGGAAACAAAACCAACGGTTCAAAAACAAATAAAATTGAAGAGAGCAGTGCTACGCATTTTGCCGTCTTCTCCTGCGCCAGTGTTACTAAGCAATGGGGTAAACAGCTGCTGTGAATATCATAATGTGAACACAGTCCGGGGGAGGGGGGAGCAATCTAACCAAGTATGAAAGCACCCTAATATGCTATTTTGGGGGGTTTAAAATCATTTCCAGCAAGTATCTTCAGGAAAACAATCACGTTAATGTCTGTTTAAATGTCTCTGTGTAGGTGAGCTGCTGAATACGAATGGCACAGTGTTTAAGGAGACGTTAGGTGCTGTCTGTGAGTCTTACAGCAGTATTAAAGGGGCTGTGGGAGAAGGTGTGGAGCGGTGCAAGGAGCGAGTGTTACATCAGGAGAAACTCTCTCAGGAGGCTCAGAAAAGCATGCTGAAAATACTGGTAAGAACTCCATGATGTTTCAAATTGTAAACTGTTTTTGACAACGCTTTATTGGTAAAGGCTAAATTGTGTTTTTATGTCTTGAAACCATCAGTGGTCTTCTTAGAGGGATAGTTCACCCAAAAATGAAAATTTGATGTTTATCTGCTTACCCCCAGGGCGTCCAAGATGTAGGTGACTTTGTTTCTTCAGTAGAACAACACAAACGAAGATTTTTAACAAACCATTGCAGTCTGTCAGTCTCATAATGGAGATGAATGGGAATCACTGACCGAATCAGATCGGTCTGTGCAAGAAACTAAACGGTATTTATATTGTTTTTTTACCTCTGATTCACGCAATGTCCGAACTGTCCTGAGCGGCGGCGCGTTCTCAACAGCAGGTGCATGAGGCTTCTTCTTGCTTTATGGCGGATCGCAGACTTAAGTGCATTACCGCCACCTATCTCTCAAATGGACCATTGACACTATCCACAATCTCAATTAGGAGTGTCAATCAGAGGTAAAAAACAATATAAATACTGTTCAGTTTCTTGCACAGACCGATCGTTTTGTGTCTTTACACATCAATGTATCGTCACGAGCTGCAGGGATTAATTTGTTTTTTTTATATATATATATATATATATATATATATATATATAAGGTGACTTTGTTTCTTCAGTAGAACAACACAAACGAAGATTTTTAACAAACCATTGCAGTCTGTCAGTCTCATAATGGAGATGAATGGGAATCACTGACCGAATCAGATCGGTCTGTGCAAGAAACTAAACGGTATTTATATTGTTTTTTTACCTCTGATTCACGCAATGTCCGAACTGTCCTGAGCGGCGGCGCGTTCTCAACAGCAGGTGCATGAGGCTTCTTCTTGCTTTATGGCGGATCGCAGACTTAAGTGCATTACCGCCACCTATCTCTCAAATGACACTCTATCTACAATCTCAATTAGGAGAGTCAATGGTTCACTTGACAGATAGGTGGCGGTAATGCACTAATAAGGGTTTAATTTGGTTTTGTTTGTGTATGTTTTTTTGACTCTCAAAGCCATGATTCCATCCACTTACATGATATGACTGAAAGACTGCAACGGTTTGTGTTAAAAATCTTCGTTTGTGTTCTACTGAAGAAACAATTTCACCTACATCTGGGATGCCCTGGGGGTAAGCAGATAAACATCAAATTTTCATTTTTGGGTGAACTATCCCTTTAAGAAAAACTTTACACATCAATGTATCGTCACGAGCTGCAGGGATTAATTTGGTTTTGTTTATATATATATATATATTTTTTTTTTTTACTCTCAAAGTCGTGATTCCTATTCACCTCCATTATAAGACTGACAGAATGCAACGGTTTGTGTTAAAAAATCTTTGTTTGTGTTTCACTGAAGAAACAAAAGTCCCTACATCTTGGATGCCCTGGGGGTAAGCAGATAAACATCAAATTTTAATTTTTGGGTGAACTATCCCTTTAAGGGTTTTAGATATTAGTAGAGGTTCTCAGTCTTTTTGAGTCCAAGGCCCTCCATTATTTACAAAAATAATCAAAGGCCCCATAAACTTAAACTATGGTCAGTCCTAGTTTTTGTAAAAAAAAAAAAAAACTAAAATGATTCAAGTAATTGAATTTCTGGATTTTAAATGTTTTAAAGGGGTCATATGGTGCTGCTAAAAAACACATTATTTTCCACATACTGTACATTATTGTTTCTCCTCTATGCCCAGCCTTCTGAAACGCATCGATTTTTACAAAGCTCATCGGACTGAAAAAGCGTGGTGTGCTGTAATTGGCCAGCTATCCAGTGCGTTGTGATTGGCCGAATACCTCAAGCGTGAGACGGAAATGTTACGCCCCTCACCATACTCGTTTTAGGGGGGTGTGGCTGACTCTTAACTTTTATAAAGAATATCTCTTTGGATTTGAGACTTTAGTCTTTGCAACTTTACAGATCTTCTTTATGCACCAAGAGCTTGTAACACTCCAAAGAGAAAGGAAAAAATGAAATTGCATCATATGACCCCTTTAAATCAGGGGTGCTCGAACTCGGTCCTGGAGGGCCGGTGTCCTGCAGAGTTTACAGGGTGTCCGCGGGTCCTTAAAATGTCTTAAATTACGTTTTCCTAATATAAGGCCTTAAAAAGTCTTAAAATGTCTTAAATTCGGATTCGATGGGTCTTAATTATTTTTGGTCTCATTACCGCTTAAATATCTTAAGTCTGACGGAGCTTATGACTTTACAATCATTGGACAGACCGAAGATGTTTTCTTCCCGCGGTAAGTTACTCCGTCATCAGAGAGAATTGCAGTAAGTTAGCAGAATACAGGCTCGCGCTGAGGCTCACTCTGTTTGTCTTGAGCGTGACCACACACACAAACTCAGAAGAAACGCACTGAGGTAAAAATTCTAAATGTTTAGTTTATTCATAACATGATATAGTTAAATAACACCATGACATGTGAGCTATTTTACTCCATATTCCCCCAACGCAAAAACATTCAGAATGATCACAAATTCAAGACATGGGGGCAGAAAATGTGTATATATATGTTATTATTTAAAAGCTACTTGTGATGGGCTTTTGTTCTTCATGTGACTTTCTCATCAACACCTGCATTTGGTGGTTATCAGTGTATTACAAAGGTACAAAACAGATGTCAGTGCTTCAATAGGTTGGTATATAATAACATTTTATCAGTTAATGAAATTACGGTATTTGACTGTAAATTTAAGTTAAAACGGTAAAACCTAAAACGTTGCTACCGTATTTTTTATGGTAAAATTCTGCAAAAACCGGCATCTAAAATGTAAATAGCCTAAATGAATACTAACATTATTAGACTTGCAAAAAATCAATATTACATTTATCATGCTGATATCTGGAGAAAAAAATGACACCTAGTGTGATATAGATTAAGTATATTAAATTATATAAATATAAAAGACATACAGAGGCATTTTGCCTCATATCTTGAATCTTATGTGGATTTTAAATGTTTTAAAGGGGTCATATGGTGCTGCTAAAAAACACATTATTTTCCACATACTGTACATTATTGTTTCTCCTCTATGCCCAGCCTTCTGAAACGCATCGATTTTTACAAAGCTCATCGGTCTGAAAAAGCGTGGTGTGCTGTAATTGGCCAGCTATCCAGTGTGTTGTGATTGGCCGAATATCTCAAGCGTGAGACGGAAATGTTACACCCCTCACCATACTGTGATGCCCTGTCTGGCCAGAGCTACGAGACAAAAACATTAAAACCCATAACAAACGAGGCATTTGTTGCATCCAGTGGGGACATAATTACGGATTATAATGACTTATACTGTCGTTTTACGCATTGCGTTGCATCGCGGCAACAACAATACTACAGCGAGAATAAAAGTTACGCCTTCTTTCTTTGCGTGAACATTTGGGCGGCATTATGCAAATCTTCCCACATAGTGAGGTAGATATGTGGGGGCGTGTTCGAACGAACCGTTTTAGGGGGGTGTGGCTGACTCTTAACTTTTATAAAGAATATCTCTTTGGATTTGAGACTTTAGTCTTTGCAACTTTACAGATCTTCTTTATGCACCAAGAGCTTGTAACACTCCAAAGAGAAAGGAAAAAATGAAATTGCATCATATGACCCCTTTAAATCAGGGGTGCTCGAACTCGGTCCTGGAGGGCCGGTGTCCTGCAGAGTTTACAGGGTGTCCGCGGGTCCTTAAAATGTCTTAAATTACGTTTTCCTAATATAAGGCCTTAAAAAGTCTTAAAATGTCTTAAATTCGGATTCGATGGGTCTTAATTATTTTTGGTCTCATTACCGCTTAAATATCTTAAGTCTGACGGAGCTTATGACTTTACAATCATTGGACAGACCGAAGATGTTTTCTTCCCGCGGTAAGTTACTCCGTCATCAGAGAGAATTGCAGTAAGTTAGCAGAATACAGGCTCGCGCTGAGGCTCACTCTGTTTGTCTCGAGCGTGACCGCACACACAAACTCAGAAGAAACGCACTGAGGTAAAAATTCTAAATGTTTAGTTCATTCATAACATGATATAGTTAAATAACACCATGACATGTGAGCTATTTTACTCCATATTCTCACAACGCAAAAACATTCAGAATGATCACAAATTCAAGACATGGGGGCAGAAAATGTGTATATTTATATTCAAGTTCCAGTCTGGAAATCATTTGTAAAATAAAGCACCTCATTATCCAAGTTTTCCCGAACTGTTGGATTTGTAGTTTTAGGTTATTTTAAATCATGTTAAGTCATTTTGAGGCCTGCTTGGAAGTTTGCTGAGGTCCCCTGGTTGAGAACTACTGGAAAGGTGTTTATTTAATTGTGTATGTCTTTTTTTTTTTACCTATTTACCTTAGCCATCTATTCTTGTTGTGATGCCTACATTTCTTTGTAAATGGTTTATTTTTTAGCATTGTATAGAAGTTTAATATTGACCATTCATAACATTTATTTATTTTTATTTATTTTTTTTCCCCTAGGATGAACACAAACAGCATTTAGAGGAGGTTTTGGTTGCCCAATTAGTTTTTAAAGTAGAACTTTTTGATTTGAGCGGCAAGTTTTTAGAACACCATGTCGTGCACAAGACACTGTAAGCAAAAGTCGAAAGCATAACGGTCAAAGATGTTTGTCTTGTGCATGTTTATATAGAAAGGCAATGGAAAAATAGCGCAGTGGAATGGGAAATTATGCAATGTCTAATTCATTTAAAAGGTTAGTTCACCCAAAAATTTAAATTAGCCCATAAATTACTCACC